TTGAATTATCGTAACCTTTTTAAACAGACGCCATCTGATATCAGGACTTCCCGCCAATGATATCCGTCATTATGTAAACAAAAGAGTTCCAAATAAGACAACGTTTTATTGATTTTTTTTCTTCGCCAACGTCTCATATATAATCGAGATTTCTGTTGTGTTTTTCTTATCTTGAAAAAAGTTATGTCGATTGTGTTTATAAGAATGACATCATACATAGTACCGTATGGGCAACGTCAGAACTTTTTCGGAAACATGCAGCATGCCAGTGACACGGGTGTCTCAATGGACAAGACAGGCCCATGCTTATAAAGCTAACTGGTGTCTCGTTTTTAGTGATCTGACCTGACACAGATACCTTGTTCAAATTGATGTATTTTATGGGGAAGTCCGGATTTCTCGAGACGGAAATGGTCGGAGACACATACCGAATACTTTATACCGAGCAATCAAACATTGACCTTCGAATACATGCTTTTGTGTACGCGTATGAGTCTATGCCTGAAGATCTGCAATTATAACGTTGGTTCATCATCATCATCATCATCATCATCATCATCATCATCATCATCATCATCATCATCATCATCATCATCATCGTCATCATCATCGTCGTCGTCGTCGTCGTCGACGTAGTGTGCAGTGCCACACTGGGAATCACCGGGGTTTATGGTATCAGTACGCCACCAAATTATCAGCCATCACTACACACACAGTAATAAATTTACGTTAATGTTCTACATGAGGTAACCATGAGGACATTTTAAAGTACTCATTATACATACATAGTTGAATAATTGATGTATACAGAATAGAAGACACGTGGGAGCATACACGGCTTAATATCAACTCATTGTTCACAAAAATACACAAGTTAATATCACCATTTAATACAATTTTAGACTTAGATACTAAAACCATCTAGAAAATACACCGATACACCGCTGTTTCTAAATACTGAGAGCCTATGTTGAAGCCAAGGAAGCGAGGAAATCCAAAAATGTATCCAAATCTAGATGTGGGATGTACACTAGCCCTGTATATTTTTTGTAATTTCCATACATCCGATAATTTCCGGAGAACCATGATTTTATGTTTATGACGTGACATGTAGGTTACGGCAAAGTTAGCGGGTCAAAATAACGAGGAAATTAAATTGCACTCGTAAGCTATCATACTATTGACATGACTATTACAGTTTGATTGCATTATTTGATAAAGCCCCACCAGTTAGTGTAATGCTTGCGTCAAATAGCACGATATCAAAACCAGATATATATGTTATGTTTCTTTTTTTTTTTTTTAATTTTTGATAACATCAAAATATCGATTTGTTATCGAATACGTTTATCTCATTGATATTAACATTTCTGAATATTGTGAAGGATTTTAATTGCATAACCGATACAGGACCATTTATGATCCTTTACAGAACCTCTGATTAATTTTTTGTATTTCGAATATTTGTAGTCTACATTCAGTTTGTTACTCGGCATGGAATTATTCTCCTTTGGTTGCCTTGTGCTGTGTCTATTTCACTCGGGTATCCATGGGCGGAGAGCAATACGTGAAAAGAAGGGAAGTAACTCTCGAAGGTTATGATAATTAAAAATATTTAGTCAACAAGAGTAACTTCCCTTCCTTAAAATGCTTATATTCCGACTTAATTCACAATATAATTCAATGTTTTTTTTAATTTTGACAAAAAATAAGTCTTTTAGAATTCTTTAAGTGTAATAATACATCAAGAGTAAGAATATAAAGCAAAATTTAATCCTAACTATTAAAATTTTAAAAAATATTTTTGACATTATGCTAATCACTCTTTCGAAATGTACGTCAAAGAAATTTAGGATAAATACAATTCCATCACTGAGACCAATAAGATCATACTTTTAGGGATCATTTCTATAGTATGCATCGCCGGAATGTCAGGTAAAACTGACCAGACCGTAAACCACGATGACGAGTCAGAGCGTCCCCTTCTGAGCGCGAAGCGGGCAGGGGTTGTCTGTAGCACCGCGGACAATGCCCCACTGTCATTGATGACCGTTCCTCTCCTCCCTACGTGGGGAGTTGGAGGAAGGGGACGCATTCTGAGTGGTTTCTTTTAAAACAAGTGAAATGGGCAAGTCCTACCATAATAAAAGACATTTGTCAAATATTCAAAGTACACACATCAGTCAAATCGTGTTGTATTCAGTCTTTAGTGAAAACGGATTTCCTTTTCCTTCAAAAATTATACATCATACATAAAACATATGTATCAATATTTATCCGTTTATACAGCTGTAACTATACATATTTCCATTTTGTTATGTGCGGCGCGACGAAATACCCAAAACTACCCGAAATTTATCCAAAATTATTAAAAACTTATCTAAAACTAACCAAAAATCTTTCGATATATCCAAATATGAGCGATAACGTTGGGATTTGCAAAAATATGCTGTGTTTATATCATACTCATATCGGATTTGGCTGTAGATTGTGGTTGTGAGAATGTCTGAATGTAAGAGGTGTGCATTATGTGAAAATCTTACAAAATATATATCTATGTATAGTTCTAGGAATATTTTATATGTTTCAATGATACATGTATTGATACCCTGTTACATTAACGACACATGGAGATTATTTATCATATTAACTAACATATTTTTGTTAATTGTAAGCGTAAGACTAACGCATCACTCTGTCAGTATGATGGCATAGCGACTGTTTCTTCAGTGTCCTGATGTAGGGGAGATAAGCGCTATGCAATATAAGCCAACATGAGAACGACGCAAACTGGACACAAAATGTGTTTTACGAGTTTTGAGTGGTTTAAGATCAGTTTTGGGAATTTTTTCTCACCCTAATTAGTGTGCTCAGAATTCACATTAGTGCACCGTAACTTGATCATTTAGCAGAAAATTAAGAAAACATCAGTAACAAGAGGGCTATAGCACTTAACAGTTATCTGATAATCGATGTCTAGATGGGCAAACCACAGAATTCGCAGATGGTGGTCTGACAAATCTGATGAATTGAAATCTTGAGCACTTTTCAGACATTTGCGCAATCATGTTAAAAAATGGCTACTGGGATCATGCTGAAAAATAACAACACTTCTCTTTCTTTTTCGTTACAACTCAATTTTTTGTTAATGGTGTTAAAGTTCTGGCTATTTGTTTAAGATGAAATATGTTGGATTTTGGACCAAAGTGTAAAAATAAGATTTAGCCAGGATAATCTCGGGATGCTTTTGATATCATTGCCATTACCTAATATTTCAGGCCACATTTGATTGAAATCTACACAGGCATTAAAAAGGAGTAGCGTTTTGAAGAAAAATATTATCTAACGTTCCCCAATGAAGCCCCGCTGCTAAGTGCTTGGGGGTCGAATCAACTTTCTGATTTTTAAAATAAGTTTCCCAAGTCCAATTATGTTTCAGACATAATTCTAAATATATTGAAGCATTAAGGAAGAGTTACATTTTGAAGCAAAATACTGACTAACTTCCCCATTTGGGCCAACGTCCCAAAGTCCCTAGGGGTCAAAACATTTTTTCTGAATTTAAGAAATTGTTCTCTACCATCAGTAATGTTTCAGACCAAAGGTTGAAATTCATTAATTCGATAAGGGAGAGTAGCTTTTGGAAGCAAAATAATGTCTAATTTCCACATTTGGGACAAACCCCCCAAGTCCGTAGGAGTCAAATCAATTTTCTGAATTTAAGAAATGATTCCTTATCCAAAATGATATTTCAGACTACATTTGGTTTAAATCCATTCAAACTTTAAGGAACAGTAACGTTTTGAAGCAAAATTATTGACTAACTTTCCCATTTGGGGCCCAGTTCCTAGGTTTCTAGGGGTTGAATCAACTTTCTAAATTTAAGAACTATTTGCCCAGTTCTACTGATGTTTCAGACAAAATACAAGTGAAATCTACACTGGCACTTAGAGGGAGTAGCATTTTGAAGCAAAATATTGTCTAACGTCTCCTTCTAGAGCCCCATCCCTAGGGTCAAATCAATTTTCTGAATTTGAGAAATAATTGCCTACCCTAACTGATGAATCAGACCACAGCTTGTTGAAATCCTACAAGGCAGAAAGGAGGAATAGGGTTTTAAAGCTAATTTCAGCACCTCCCTTAGGTGTCCAATAAAAATTCTGTATTCAACAAATGATAACCCTCACCCAATGATGTATCACAAGGGTCGAACTTATTAAAACCTTTAAACAACTTGTCATGAACTAAGAGGCCTAGAGGCATGGTATTTGGCTGGTATATACACCCGGTGAGCGCTGCAGGTCCATTTGGCCTCTCATTTGAAGGCTTAATTTTCAGTTAAACCGAACTGATAACACTCTATGTTGTTGCAGTTTATATAGTATATTTGACCCCCTGTGACATTGAATGAAAGCCAAGGTTATTCATTTAAACAAACTTGATTGCCCCATACTACTGGCCCAATATCATTACCCTGGACCTTTTGGTAATTGAGAAATCGTTTTAAGATTTTGACCTATTTGATACATGTGACCTTGAAACGTAGGTTGAGGTCAACAATATGAACAAACTCTGTAGCTCTTCACACCAGCAAACAACAGGCCCAATATCAGCACCCTGGGCGTTTAGGTTATTGAAAGGAATTCATTTAAAATGTCAACACATTTGGCCCCTGTGACCTTAAAAGTCAAAGTAATTCATTTACACAAACTTGAATGCCCTTTATTATAGCATGCTACAGGCCCATTATCAGCAACCTGAGCGGTTTGGTTATCTAGAAGAAGTCGTTTAAAGATTTTGACACAATTGACACACGTGACAGTTTTCTTCACACATACTTAAAAAAATTTCAAATACAACAAAAGTAATTTTCCAATTTGTGGTGCAGTTGTAAAGCCAAACTTCTCAATATGGAAGTATCAAATAATCATACTGACACCTTTTTGCTCAAGATGAACATTTTATTCTACACTCAGCACAAATCACAAAACAGGCAGCTAAGTAGCACTTTTATTAATTAGAACAATAAGACGATGACTGCATGTAATTAATACTTGATATGGATTTTCAGAGTGTTATCATTAACTGTCTTTATATATAGACATAACTGAGTCTTTTTTTGCACAGCCTGAATAATTATCATCTTGTCCCTGGTTGTTGATGAATTGAGAAAATTTGTTTTCAATGACAAGAATAAGGTCTGGTAAGATTGTGTCCAAGACAGCCATCCCCTTTCTTGTAGTACGAAGGCTTCTGTAACAACAAAAAAACAGAAAGAAATATTGAGGCTAGAGGTCTATCTGTTTATCAAAATAAGAGGTCTATATAACACTTGGTGTCAGTCACACTAATAGGTCACAAGACTTGCTATCAGTCTTACATTAACAGGTCACAACACTTGATGTCAGTCACACTAACAGGTCACAAACCTGATGTCTAATGCACTAAAAGGTCACATCACTTGATGGCTGTCACACTAACAGGTCACAACAGTTGATGTCTGTCACACTTACAGGTCACATCACTTGATGTCTGTCACACTAACAGGTCACATCACTTGATGTCAGTCACACTAACAGGTCACATCACTTGAAGTCTGTCACACTAACAGGTCACATCACTTGATGTCCATCACACTTACAGGTCACATCACTTGATGTCAGTCACACTAACAGGTCCCAACACTTGATGTCTGTCACACTTACAGGTCACAACACTTGATGTCAGTCACACTTACAGGTCCCAACACTTGATGTCTGTCACACTAACAGGTCACATCACTTGATGTCCATCACACTAACAGGTCACATCACTTGATGTCTGTCACACTAACAGGTCACATCACTTGATGTCCATCACACTTACAGGTCACATCACTTGATGTCAGTCACACTAACAGGTCCTAACACTTGATGTCTGTCACACTAACAGGTCACATCACTTGATGGCTGTCACACTAACAGGTCACAACACTTGATGTCCATCACACTAACAGGTCACAACACTTGATGTCTGTGGCACTAACAGGTCCCAACACTTGATGTCAGTCACACTAACAGGTCCCAACACTTGATGTCTGTCACACTTACAGGTTACAACACTTGATGTCAGTCACACTTACAGGTCACATTTTTGATGTCAGTCACACTAACAGGTCACAACAATTGATGTCAGTAACACTAACAGGTCACATCAATTGATGTCAGTAACATTAACTGGTCACAACATTTGTTATTTGTCCCACTAATAGGTCACATCACTTGATGTCTGTCACACTTACAGGTTAAAACACTTGATGTCAGTCACACTAACAGGTCCCAACACTTGATGTCTGTCACACTTACAGGTCACAACACTTGATGTCAGTCACACTTACAGGTCCCAACACTTGATGTCTGTCACACTAACAGGTCACATCACTTGATGTCCATCACACTTACAGGTCACATCACTTGATGTCAGTCACACTAACAGGTCCTTACACTTGATGTCTGTCACACTAACAGGTCACATCACTTGATGGCTGTCACACTAACAGGTCACAACACTTGATGTCCATCACACTAACAGGTCACATGTCTGTGGCACTAACAGGTCCCAACACTTGATGTCAGTCACACTAACAGGTCCCAACACTTGATGTCTGTCACACTTACAGGTTACAACACTTGATGTCAGTCACACTTACAGGTCACATTTTTGATGTCAGTCACACTAACAGGTCACAACAATTGATGTCAGTAACACTAACAGGTCACATCAATTGATGTCAGTAACATTAACTGGTCACAACATTTGTTATTTGTCCCACTAATAGGTCACATCACTTGATGTCTGTCACACTTACAGGTTAAAACACTTGATGTCAGTCACACTAACAGGTCCCAACACTTGATGTCTGTCACACTTACAGGTCACAACACTTGATGTCAGTCACACTTACAGGTCCCAACACTTGATGTCTGTCACACTAACAGGTCACATCACTTGATGTCCATCACACTTACAGGTCCCAACACTTGATGTCTGTCACACTAACAGGTCACATCACTTGATGTCCATCACACTAACAGGTCACATCAATTGATGTCAGTAACATTAACTGGTCACAACATTTGTTATTTGTCCCACTAATAGGTCACATCACTTGATGTCTGTCACACTTACAGGTTAAAACACTTGATGTCAGTCACACTAACAGGTCCCAACACTTGATGTCTGTCACACTTACAGGTTACAACACTTGATGTCAGTCACACTAACAGGTCCCAACACTTGATGTCAGTCACACATACAGGTCACATCACTTAATGTCAGTCACGCTAACAGGTTACAACTCTCAATAGAAAATCAAAGCATATCCAACATGTCACAACAAAAACCCCTACCAGTTTTTTTCATTAACAAAAAGAAACTTCTTTAATTGTTCTGTAGAAAAAATGGAAATAGACTTGACTCAGGCTTACTTGGTATCTTGAGACGATATATAGTATGCAAAAATAAATAACTGTGCCAGGTGTGGTCAATATTTTTACCTGTAGAACGTACTACTACAGGTAGATTACAGTTGAGGTGATTTGTCACTACATTTTGTATCTATAGAAGTATTACCTCACTTTCCTGGTATTCTGATGAAATAAGGAAGTCATTATTACACATCTATTGACAATGTAGCTTGTTTTCCTCAGGTAAAATTTTCAGGTATCAAGTTATGCATATCTTCTAATGACTTATTGACAGCAAATAGCTACTAAGGTATGAGTGACACTATTAAACTACACAACTCCCCTCACCTGGTTTTATAAGTTAAGAAGTGCTATACAAACAATATACAAGATTATATTCCAGTTTGTGCATAATGAATTTAAAAGAATTGGATTTGAAATTTTGTACTGAGTGAGGTAAATAAAAGTATATCACCCTAAGAAATAATGTAGAAATCTACAGCATTTAAATGTCCCACAAAAAATAAACAAAAAAACAAAAAAAAAAAATTAATAATGGAGCAGGACCAGATTTGCATGCACAATATTATAACCCTGGCATTTTTGTAGGACTGACATCAGCAGAAAGGGAGGAATTTCTACACTGCTACATTATGACATTACTATAAACATGTGGTTTCATTAGTGATGTCATAATTAACGCTGAGCTCTTGTCATGTTGAGAAGGCATATCTGTACACAATAAACACATACTGGTGGTCAAGGATGAGGAACTGTTGAGTGATCAATGAGCTGACTGTTGACTCATTACATAATGACCAGAGGTTAGGGTCAGGACACCTTAGACTCCAACTCTGAAACACAATAGAAATTTTTTTTGTGTATACGATATAAAGGGTAGTTTCAACCAATTAACTTATGGTGTAGCTAAACTACTGGTTTTGTCAACAAAATGAAATCAACTATGACTATTGATGCTGTGAACAAATTTAAATCAACCATGATTACCGGTGATGTATACAAAATTTAAATCAACCAAGCCTTGGTGTTGTGGATAAAAAGAGCCATAACAAATGGGGTTGTGGATGAAATCAACCATGACTATTGGAGTCGTGGATGAAATCAACCATGACTATTGGGGTTGTGGATGAAATCAACCGTGACTATTGGGGTTGTGGATGAAATCAACCGTGACTATTGGAGTTGTGGATGAAATCAGACATGAATATTGAGGTTGTGGATGAAATCAACCATGACTATTGGGGTTGTGGATGAAATCAACCATGACTATTGGGGTTGTGGATGAAATCAACCATGACTACTGGGGTTGTGGGTGAAATCAACAATTACTGGTGCTGTGGATGAAATCAGCCATGACTACTGGTGTTCTGGGTGAAATCAACAATTACTGGTGCTGTGGATGAAATCAGCAATGACTACTGGTGTTCTGGGTGAAATCAACAATTACTGGTGCTGTGGATGTAATCAGCCATGACTACTAGTGTTGTGGAAATAAATAGTATAGTAACAAAGTATTGTTCCCAGCAAAGCTATGTTGAACATTTTGTTTTGTATTCTGGCAGAAACTTTGACTTCACATTATATACTAGTACACAGTTTTTCATACTTTTATATTGACGATGCCATGCCTTGAAATAACTAGTATGGCTGAAATGTTGCATACATCTTTTTTTTTCTGGATGTTTGTAGGGGGATTAAAGTATGCTAAAACAATAGGACCAAAAGAACCCCAAACACCACTGTACCATACATGTTAATAGCTGTCCATGTGATCTTCATTGTTCTAAAAACATTTAAAAGTTATATAGATCACACTTTACCAAAAAATAACTTCAAACCCAAAAACATCATATCAAAATCTCAACCACATGGCATTTCAAATGACAACGCATTAGCTCTTCATCTATTTTCATGTCACACAAGGAAATCAGCCTCAGTTTAATATACATGTACATTGTATCACCCTGAAAGCCATCTGATATGTACTATAATATAATTGTCAGTAATGAAGTTAACATTATTAATTACCTCATGGGTAACTCCTTCCTTTGTTCTAAGGCCAAGAGCAACTAATTCCTTCAGACTGAAAATTAAAAAAATAACAAAAAATTATGTTTGTCAAAGCCAAAAGTGGAGTGAAACATATTTTTGGAATTTTAAAACAAAATCACTAATCTATCTAATAAACAAACAATTGGCTGTCAACTAGATACCAAAAACAATGTAATCAGAAAACAAAATCACTAATCTATCTAATAAACAAACAATTGGCTGTCAACTAGATACCAAAGTAACTAAATGTATTTCATTCAGAAAACAAAATCACTAATCTATCTAATAAACAAACAATTGGCTGTCAACTAGATACCAAAGTAACTAAATGTATTTCATTCAGAAAACAAAATCACTAATCTATCTAATAAACAAACAATTGGCTGTCAACTAGATACCAAAGTAACTAAATGTATTTCATTCAGAAAACAAAATCCCATATATAGTTCCCATTAAGACTCATTCATGTCCTGTTTTTATTTTCTAACTTTTTGTTTTGCCCCAACGTAAACTTTATGAAAGTGAAAATGAATGGGGGACATAACTCTGTATTTGTTTGCAAAACCAACTTGGAGCAAGTCACAATTTATCTTCAAATGATATTCAAAGATTATATAGAGTTTCACAGGTAAATCTTTCACAAAAATATACCTGTAAGCAAAATAACCTTTACTTCAGTTATGATCATAGATATATACTTGTACCAGCCTTGTTACAGAGATAAGTGCATCTATGATGTAGTCAAATTACCTTCAGACATTCTGAAGCAGTGGTCTTTTAAAGAATTTAAAAAATGACAGCTGCTGGTGATAGACTCAAGGCAAACAAGCTCACTTTGATCTTCCAATAGTGGTGTGATCATAACAAAGCTGCTGGGTTCCATTTGTTTAGTTTTATTAAAAGAGAGAGGGAGAGATTCCAGAAATATCTAGAGAGCCTTACTGACAAAATAATTCAACCGTTCACTTGGAGAGATAGAATTCAAATGTACCGATTACTCAGGCAATAAAAGAAACCCACAAGACAGAAGTTTTCAACTAATCTAACAACTTCATCAAAGTCTGTCAACTCATGTACAGCACACATACAAACATACAAAATGCAAACAAAGAAACATGCTATACCTGGTATACGTATCGGTACACCTTAACCGGCAAAACGTAACGAGAGTTTTTCAAATGATATACAAGTATTTAAAAACAACCAATTCAGCATATTGTACTAAATGACAAATTAATATATTTTATAACCAACAGAATTTGACAACTGAAATAATAACTTAATCATTTTGACCCTGTTAAACAATGTGCTCTCAAAGCATAATTTCTCTAGCAGGGGTTGGGCATTAGGGTTGTAAAACTAATCCAACAATGAATTGTACTCTTCCTGACCAAAAATCAAGTGAATATTTTCATTAAACACAGACATAATGACATGGTTTACTTACATATCTATATGTGTCTGTTCCACTACTTTACGAGTGGCATGACCTTTTTTCTCCACCTCAAACATCCAGTGAGCAGGTTCTAAAGTTTGTATGCGAGCTTCCCTAGTACTGCGCCCAAGCCCCTGCGGGACAAACCGGCCATGGGCTCCTACCAAAATTCAAGATGGATGGTACATTGGATCTACAGCTGAGAGCAGCTTGTCCATTATATGAAACTAAACTGCCTCCATGCTATCACCAAAGAAACTATTTCCCAAAGGGTCAATATTTTATACAGGATTCAGAGAAAATCTTCAAATTATAATCATTTCTTTATACTTCACATTTGTATCTTAAAGTACACAAATTACACATGGTTAAAGGTGGCAGGGATTTTTACCCTTTCCTTGACAAAATAAATAAGCTTAAAAATATTACTCTAGACCAAAGAATGAAACTGAAAGTAAGTCAGAATCACTACAAGATCAAAGCCTATTTCATTTACAAAATATCACTCTGACTTTTGGTGATCTCCAAGATATAATAATATATATAATAATTATTCAATTTTTCATAATAAACTTGGAACTGTTACAATTTACTTGGTCACAATCTTCCATAACATGCCTTTTGTAAATCATTAAATCAATCAAATCAACAGGAAAGCCATGTGTGTAAAAATCTGAAGAAAATTCAAATCTGTTCTGAAATTATGAGTTCAATTTTCTCTATTTTGCCAATGTTTGTTCCTTTCATTCTTAAAAATAAATTGAATATATATTCAGAATGTTCAGTTGGGATCTCCAATACTAGATGGTTTCCCCTTTTGGCAAGGAAGTAATGCCTAATTCTGTAATGGGTATGAGCAACTTCAATGGCTTTGAAATGTTTAGATTTTTCTCCCTTTGAGCATTTATTGTTTAAAAAACAACTTATTGAAGTAATAAACATGAAATTGGCCAAGTACTAACATAATCAAAATGTGCCTCCTAATAAAAGATTCCATATTGATGGTTATAGAACTTGTAGCTATAATCAGTTTTTTACCTGGGGCCTGAATTCATGTAAACACAGCACTTGTGCAGAAATAGAAATTGTCACTAAGAATTACATGTACCATAATTTTAGTCTCATCTTTATAGAAATCAATTTTTTACAATTAGATTTAAACGAACAAAAAAAAGAAAAAAAAGAAAGAAAAAAACACAGAAAAAAATCATTATATTAGGGTATCCTGTACCTGCTCTCACGACTCCTATATCTATATAATACCTAGCTGGTCTCATCACTCCTATATCTATAACTGACTCTACCTGGTCTCTCACCAATCCTATATCTATTATTGATCCTACCTGGTCTCACCACTGCTATATCTATAATTGACCCTACCTAGTCTCACCATTCCTATATCTATGATTGACCCTACCTATACCCATTCCTATATCTATGATTGACCCAACCTAGTCCCACTCCTTATATATATGTATAATTGACCCTACCTGGTCTCACCACTCCTTTATCTATAATTGACCCTACCTGGTCTCACCACTCCTATATCTATAATTGACCCTACCTGGTCTCACCACTCCTTTATCTATATAATCCCTACCTAGTCCCACTCCTATACTTAAATAATACCTTCCTGGTCTCACCACTCCTATATCTATAATTGACCCTACCTGGTCTCACCACTCCTATATCTATAATTGACCCTACCTGGTCTCACCACTCCTATATCTATAATTGACCCTACCTGGTCTCACCACTCCTATATCTATAATTGACCCTACCTGGTCTCACCACTCCTATATCTATAATTGACCCTACCTAGTCTCACCACTCCTATATCTATAATTGACCCTACCTAGTCCCACTCCTATATCTATAATTGACCCTACCTGGTCTCACCACTCCAATATCTATAATTGACCCTACCTGGTCTCACCACTCCTATATCTATAATTGACCCTACCTGGTCTCTCACCAATCCTATATCTATTATTGATCCTACCTGGTCTCACCACTGCTATATCTATAATTGACCCTACCTAGTCTTACCATTCCTATATCTATGATTGACCCTACCTATACCCATTCCTATATCTATGATTGACCCAACCTAGTCCCACTCCTATATGTATAATTGACCCTACCTAGTCTCACCACTCCTATATCTATAATTGATCCAACCTAGTCCCACTCCTATATCTATAACTGACCCTACCTGGTCTCACCACTCCTATATCTATAATTGACCCTACCTGGTCTCACCACTCCTATATCTATAATTGACCCTACCTGGTCTCACCACTCCTATATCTATAATTGACCCTACCTGGTCTCACCACTCCTATATCTATAATTGACCCTACCTGGTCTCACCACTCCTATATCTATATATGACCCTACCTGGTCTCACCACTCCTATATCTATAATTGACCCTACCTGGTCTCACCACTCCTATATCTATAATTGACCCTACCTGGTCTCACCACTCCTATATCTATAATTGACCCTACCTGGTCTCACCACTCCTATATCTATAATTGACCCTACCTGGTCTCACCACTCCTATATCTATAATTGCTCCTATATCTATAATTGACCCTACCTAGTCTCACCACTCCTATATCTATAATTGACCCTACCTGGTCTCACCACTCCTATATCTATAATTGACCCTACCTGGTCTCACCACTCCTATATCTATGATTGACCCAACCTAGTCCCACTCCTATATCTATAATTGACCCTACCTGGTCTCACCACTCCTATATCTATAATTGACCCTACCTGGTCTCACCACTCCTATATCTATAATTGACCCTACCTGGTCTCACCACTCCTATATCTATAATTGACCCTACCTGGTCTCACCAATCCTTTATCTATATAATCCTTACCTAGTCCCACTCCTATACTTATATAATACCTTCCTGGTCTCACCATTCCTATATCTTTATAATCTCTTTAATGTCCCACTCCTATATCTATTTCATCTCTAACTCTTAACACTCCTATACCTGATAACACCTACCTGGTCCCACTCCTATACCTGATAACACCTACCTGGTCCCACTCCTATATATTGCTGTCCTGTCCAGTAAGCTTGATTGTGATTACTCCTTGCTCCCTGAAATCATACATTATATGGAATTTACCTAAATGTACAAAATGTATACTGGTTTCATGTATAAAGGCAGTTCTCCAATAATATTCTGCCAACAAACAAAATTTACAAGATATGTTATATTGCCTGTTAATCTACTGAACTGTCTGACATGTATATCTTCATCTGAGTTAACCCACTCGGAGAGATCTAAACTTATGGAACTTCTGGTGTCACTTTTTAGGTCCATATTTGTAGGATAGCCTTACTCTATTTCAGCATCTTCTAAATCAACTTGTTTTATAGAACATGATAGATTATAACAGTAACAATACTCACATTCTTAGCAAAGTTTGATACTTCATACTGTTCAAAGCCATGTTTTTCCAAAATCTGAAAATGGAGATTATCATATTAATGATAAATTTTAGCAAAACATTTAGTACAAGAATCACAATATTTATGCACAATGTGTACACTTTGTACAAATTACATGTCTGCTTATCTAAAGTGACCTTTCAGAGTTCAGAACTATATGTTTCCAAAAATCAGCCTCAAATTATCATATAAACAATCTCTTTAAAGTTGGACTTGACAAAATCATCCAAATAAGTTGTCTAAAGTTAAATGTATGAGGAAAATTGATCTAGCAATACCTTCCCAAAACACAAGCTAAAACACCATGAAAGAACATGAAACTTGACCTAGCAATAAATACCTTCCCAAAACACAAGCTAAAACACCATGAAAGAACATGAAACTTGACCTAGCTAAACCACTCCAATAAGTAGTCTAAAGTTTAATGTATGTGGTGTTTGACTCACTGAAGCTAAACCACCCCAATAAGTGGTCTGAAGTTCAATGTATGTAGAGTTTGACCTAGCTAAACCACTCCAATAAATAGTCTGCAGTTCAAAGAACATGAAACTTGACCTAGCTAAACCACTCCAATAAGTAGTCTAAAGTTTAATGTATGTGGAGTTTGACCCACTGAAGCTAAACCACCCCAATAAGTAGTCTGAAATTCAAAGAACATTGAACTTGACCTAGCTAAACCACCCCAATAAGTAGTCTGAAGTTCAATGTATGTGAAGTTTGACCACCTAAAGCTAACCCACTCCAATATGAAGTCTGAAATTATGAACAATGTATTTGATGATGGATTGACTTTTCTCCCAACAGCAGCTTCCAGATGTTATGTGTACAATATGTGTATTACAGTTAGCCTACTGTATTCTAGTAGATGTTGGAAAGTGACAACTGATATGGTCTGAGAGGTCTTTGTAGATATTTTCTCATAGTATTCTCTCTTGCTTAGCATGGGTAAGCAGTTATATAAAAGTGATTAATATTCACTTTTTGCAAACATACCTCCATTTATGATCTTATAGACATTTTTATAAGACGTCAGTAGGAATACACCTGCCACAAATATTTGCTGTGTATTTGGCAGTGACAGAAAACAGCTTGTTCGGTAAATTGACAGAATTGTAACAATTGAAAAAAGCATTTTAATATATTGTAGTGAACAAGTTTATATTGGAAAATAAAAAAAAATTGCTGTCATATCCATTGAAGTTTGGAGCTATGTTTCTGTACAGAGCAATTGTTTTTGCATATGTCATTAGGCAAAATTCAGTGTAACATCAACAGCAGGTTAACAAAGACTGAACAACAAAACTGTCAGAGTCTTGATTGTCTGATTTTCAATCAATGTTGCAGGATAAATAGAGAATACATGCATTTTGGCCACTTTTGTCTTTCTTCACCCTCACTAAAATATTACAGCTTATATTTTAAGACACTGACTATGTATTCTTTATCTATACAACAAAGTGAGCCCTTGAATTCTATCTGTTACATGACATCAAGGAAGGTGCAAAGTATATGTGACACAGCACTTTCTGTAAATATGCCTGCTATATCTGAGTACACATATTTGTCAACTTTTTTTTAGGAATTTCGTATAACACCATTTTGAATTTGAAGTGGGACCCGCTTTTATTAATATCTATTTGTTTTGATATCCCTACAAAGTGTTTCTTAATAAATACTTCTCAGCCTAAGGATGTCTTAATCTTATCTTAACATAATTACCAAGTGGTGATTTCTTAGAAATTTTCTGAATATTGTAATTTGTCAATTTGTAAGCTTGTTGTGTATATTGGGGCTTTAATGATAAATAGCAAGAATTTAGTTATATTCACTTAAACATAATCAGGAAAGAAAATTCAAGGTAAATATTCAAAGGAGAGAATGGTACCATAATCAATAATTATATAATTTGTCTTGATTTATCCTCAGTAACAAAAAGTGATAACAAACTGACTTACCTTCACTGCTTCGATATACATGTCAGCCATAATGTCTTCGTGTGGCAGCTCCTGTGCAAAGATCATAAATTACATATTCTAAAATTTAAAATATGCATGTCATGACTATTCATTAAGGTTTATGTGCTTTCACATCAGTTATAAATACTTTGTCCTCAGATGACAGTCTGGAGCACTACTAAAACATGGAATTACACTGAGATATGACCTGATGCCTGAAGCAGATGCCTGGTACAGTCACAATATTCCGACAGACTACAGATAGACAGATGTGCTGTATGGAGACAATAAGACAGGAAGGAAAAAAAATACTGAGGTAACAACTCTTGTAACTGGAGATTAGATCAGTTATCATTTCTACAATGCCTCTATAAGGCCTGGGTTAGATCCACAATTAAAAACCTTTGATTCTACACTGAAACCTTATCAGTAGTGGGGTGTTTTAGGTATATTTTCCCATAAGCCTGCAGGAACAAATGAAGAGTCATCTAAATTACATTTATTATTATCTTTCAATATACTACATTGGCTATTAGTATTGTAAACAAAAATCATTGTTTGAAATTACCCTGAATATTCCTTCATCTATTGTGAATAAAAGGCAAGTAATTACTATTTATATAAATATATAGATACAACCTGTACTTACTAAAAGTCCATTCTGGACCCACTTGAAGAGTTGTGTGCCCCTTTCTAGTGTCAGCTGGTACAGGGAGACATGCTTGTCACATATAGACAATATCTGAAACAGGATCAGTACTATTCATACATCAAATGAACCATGGGAATATCAATATGAGAATAAACAAGCTGCTCTGTTAGTCTGATGGGTAGGTAATGTTGATAAACAATTTGTAAGCACAATGAAATTCGAATGTTTACAATTTTCTTGACATCTGATTTGCCACAACCCCCCCCCCCCCCGCCCCCCCCCCCCCCCCCCCCCCCCCCCCCCCCCCCCCCCCCCCTCCCCCCAAAAGAGCTGATCAATATATATCTACTTTGCAAATTTTAATATCATGCAATCATAAAACAGAAATATCAATCTAACCTCAGCATTGTCATATTTCATTCATGTAATCTAAATGTATCATATATACCTATCCTTCTTTTGAATTCTGACCAAAAGGGCTGTCCCAAATTTCTCCATTTCTCAAAATTCTTCTTTTTTTTCATAGTGGGTTGTAATTCCAAAAATTCTAAGTCAGCCCATGATAGAACTAGAATAAGTACATTTAACAACAAGGAACATCTACATATAGCTAGAAATTGTAACTTCAAAATCTGTTAAGAATTGAAAATAAAATATTTGCTAGAGGTATCCCACAAATCTATACATTAATAGTGCAGTATATCTTTTTTAAAAGCTTACTTGATGTAGTTCTTTGATCCATCTCTCCAAGGTTTGACCAGGCCGACCAAATATCACATCTACAGACACTCGTCCAGGATACAGACTAACCGCCTCCTCTACACACCTTTAAACAAAAGAACTGACCATCTGACTGAATTATAGCAGACAAGTCAGTACTTACATCAGAAGATAGGATCATATCAATAATGAACCTCTAGTCTCAAAGGAAATCTCTTGTCTGCTTGACAACTGTTTCTGAATTTTTGTGTTTTTGAGAAATGTTCATATCTAACACTGTGTTTTCAGAAAATTTTCATACAGACATATAGCAGATACTGATTACCCGTCCGCTGAAAAATCTTTTACTACAATAGGTTGACTTTTCCGCTGACCACAATTTTCAAGTCTAGAAAGTTTGATGTTCTTCATGTGTTTTCATGACTCTGAACCAGCAAAACCATACAAAATTTACCACAATGTGCTATTTACAATTAACCAATGAGAATTTTTCTGCTTTTAACACAGATGCTCTAGATGGAGGCTCGTAGAAGGGGTGGAGAACAGCAGTCATGAATATATACCAATGGAGTCAGTGACTGTCACATAAAAAGTGACCGAAGGTGTTGTATAAATTGCAGCTGTACAAGAAGTTAGTCTTATCGGACTAGGTCAGCTCTTAGGCGATTGTTTAAAACATAATGAATACGTCCCATGTCTTAGCTTTGCTTTCTTCTGCTGTAAAAACTATCATCATCTATCCATTAACAATATCAATTATCTGAAAATAATATTTCATAGGACAGATTTCCCTAAAGTAAATAGGTGTGTATCCTTACAAAGCCATGTATTGTCATATATATAGCAATAAGACTGAGGTGCATGGGCATGCCAATCACAGTGGATAAATTCATAATAGAACATAACAAAAGCAATTTCATTATGTCTTCCACAAAGTTTAGGCAAAAATAATTCGAAAGATGGACAAAAAAAAAAAAAAAAAATTATGAAACCTGAATTTCAAATTTTCAGTTGTATCATATGGTTGAAGGGAGGTAACTCTCATAAAACTCGATAATCAAGTAAACCACTAATTATGAAAGAGAAGTGATGTTAAATACTTAACTAAATAAATATGGACACTTTGGGACTTGGAAAAGTTTAATTGTTTTTTGGATATATTAACTTAACTTGCAAACTTAAAATACATTACTTCTGTATGTAGGAATTAGACATGAAATTTGTAACGCTTCATTGTATCTTGCAATGTAACTGAAAATTGGTCAATGGCAAAATTGTGAAATTGTAACTTAATATCTGCTACTGACAAGACTGACAGGCGATAAATTTTTGTGATTTTGAACACTTAAAAAGAACTTTTTTTGTAATGGTAATTTTGACCCCATAACCCTGAAAACACAATATCATCAAAAATTTACATCCTGAATATGAAGTTTGATCAAAATCCCACAAGAAATGTAACTGTTGGAGCATTGACAAATATGGGTGTAATGTATATGTAGTACAATACACATACACTGAGAAAAATCCCAAAATCCCATCTGTCTTGAGAGCAAATAATGATTTGAAGAAATCTTCACATTTACATGTATGACCAACTGGGGGTTTTCGGCCATAATATATATATGTAGCCGTGCATGGTCATACTTAAAGTAATTACGGAATACTCCAAGTCTGTGTTGCCATTCCATCAGATGACCTTTTATATTGTTTGTATAAAGTGAAGCTTATCTTATATACTAATTTATAATTGGTGGAGAAACACAGAATGGTCCTGTCTGGTAAATTGTACAGTTTCCTAGGGAGCCTGAACAGGGTGTCCTCTGTCAGGTGCAGGGCTACATGATGATATAGGGTCTGAGGGTCATGATAAAAGAGACTTCCCATACTTTCTAATGATATACAACATATTTAAAAGTATTTTTATACTTATGTGATATTTAAGAAGAGCTGACTGCAATATACTTGAAGTTACTATAAATGCTATGCAGTTTTAAGACTATGCTATCTATTGCAATTCTGAGAACAGGTACAAATTCCTAACAACTTACTGAATCCAATGACATTCATATTCTGATCTAAATTATACAATGATGAAGAGTAATACACACTAGTGAGTGCAGATTATACTATAAATTGTTATACATTATGACACTCATGCTGGGCACTGTTAAGTGAGATGATGTGTAAGGATGAGGTGACAGGAAGTCCTTAATCTGTTTAAGACTTAACACTGTAGTACATCAAGCCATAAACATGGCCGCTAAGACTGGTATCGTATCCTGTATGAACCCCAGCGTATTTGACCACTTAAATTGTTTCCTGTTGATACTGTCAGGAGTGTCTTTTCAAATCTGAACTCTCATGTATCAGGTATTACATATTATGTACATAAAGTTTGTTACATTCAAACTCCATACCTGAGAAGAATATAATCCTTATAGAGATGTTTTACTAAAGTTTTATACCAGAGAAGTACATGTCAGTGAACAGTAATGATTAAATAGCTTAAATATAAGTATATACCCCTTATTATTAAGCTCTATGTAATGATGCCACTTAAGATATTCAAAGGTCATTTCTTAATCCCTTTTATGATGCACTTACTTTAAGGAGTCCATAGATGTGTGTTCTCTACCTAATATGTTTAAGTCTGTGTCATTTAAAGCCTACAACATCAATAAGTTAATATTCAGAATCTAGTTGGCTGTAATTCATATAAAAACAACAGATTCATTTACATAAGGCATACTATCTATACATGGGTTCAAGAGTGTAATTTCAAATGATTTTGACATCTTTTTAACGATATGATAAAATATTTAAATTCTGATTTGAATTGTGCATAAAATCAGGAACATGTATATAGTATTTTCAAATTATACTAGACAAACATCAGGAATATATTATGTACAAGAAAAGTTGTACATCTTCTGTGAAATGACAGTTTAAGTAGGGGGTATATACATGTACCTGAACTCCAATGGATACCCTGTTAATACCAGCAGCTCGAAAGTCACTAAAGAAGATCAAAATAGAAACATGGAGTGCTAACTCACAACCATTATTGGTAAAGTATAAAACAATTAGAAACACATAACCATTACTGGTTAAGTATAAAGCAATTTGAAAGCTTCATTTTTTATAACAATAAATCTTATCTGCATTGATTTATCAGTTTGAATTTTCATAATATTAATGCGCCCACTATATTAATAGTTCATTTAAATGAAATATTTTTTAAAGGTTGAAAAATGATTATTGTGACCTATATCCAAAATTATATCATTTGGAACTTCTTGGGAAGGTCAAACAGAGAATTAGTAGATAACTGAAGAAGGGGTTTTGAAATGTTAAAAATAAACCCATGATATGCCCTGCAAACCTACAAACTGGGACAGTTACTCATCATTCAGTCATACTAACCCCAATTTTCCAGTTTCTAGAAGAGTGGGGTTAACTTCCAAGGTGACTTCTGCTTCTGCTTGCAACTTTGCTGTTTCCGTGACAGCTCCAATCACCGTGGAAATTGTCCTTGGTTCAGCTAGACTTGGTGTTCCTAAATCATCAGAATGGAGGATTTTTAATTGAATATTTTTGAAACAAATTGATTTTCCTTAGCTAAATAATGATAATTATTCTTAATGATAAAACATTAAGGATTCAAATCATTGTTGCCAAGAATGAAGTAAAATGTTCATGTCAACCAGGCTGATAGTGAGGTCAAAGGTACCAATATCTCTTTTTCTAATTCAAATCTCAGATCATAGTTCTAAAAGAGTAATTATGTAATCTTATATGAACACATCACCAAAACGTTTAAATGTTTTACAAACCTCCTCCAAAGAAAATCGAATTAATTCTACTAACTCCACTATACTCCATCAAGGTTCTGGTCTCCTTGGCAAGGCACATTGTCATCCTTACATTGTCTACATCACGACTAAAACAAAATACTAAAACTGTAGTAAAACTATAACATATATGACTTAATAACACCTATCAATACTCCCAAAGCTATTTAAAAATAACTATAGATATAGACATGGTTAATTTTAATATCGATTCATGGATATGTACAACAAAATCCATATTAAGGTATTGCTATATTTTGTATAAAACCATCTACAGTGCTATAACAAAAGAAAGTAGGAAACATCTATTTATATAAGTTTTGGTTTTCGATTACGATCCAGAACTGGCCCACAAACTACTCCTCTATGAAGAATGTCAATGCAAGCCCTCAGGGTATTTTAAAGAATAAATGCGGTATACTGTATGCAACTTACTTGATATATTTGTTGAAGTTACAGTATGTGCATCGTTTTGAACAATATGGCCACTGCAAAAAGATGTCAGACATTTAAGAACCAATCTAGTTTAGTTAATTCCTGTCCAGGAGAAGATTGTGTATAGTGAGAAACACAAATATCATCTTTCAACAATGTAACATATCATTACATCTTTTTATTATATTGTAGTCAAAATTACTGCTGTAAATAGTTTTGGTCAATATGATACAATAATATTTTGTAGTTTGACCCAATAGTTATGGTCGTACCGATGTCATTTCATCTGACTGGTGATTTATGGTCAGAGCACAGAGTTCCTGGGCAGATAGGAGGTAATTGAGTGGTCTAGGATATTGCAGTTATCTATTGAAGACCACGGCCAGTTCTTACGACAGATTACTAAGCCAGGGTTTTGCACCTTTTGTTCATCAGTGCCTTGACTGATCTGTCATTAGTGTCTGTTGTGTGGAGATTTGCTGTAGGACATTGTTAGCACTCCAAAAGAGGAATGTTGAACACTGGTGTAGATTGTTTGACAGGGGCATTATAGGGACATTTACAGCCCATTCATATCATGTTCCTAGTTTATTTCCTGTGTATATATACATACTTGTTAAATGTGTGAGAGTGAGTGTGGAAGTATTCACTGCTACTGTTGATAATGGAGAGTGGAAGTAAAGAAGGTAAAAAAAATAAACATCGTGTGTTGTGCTTCCACTCCTTTACAAAGGTTGACAATAGGCTCATCCCAATACAAACAAAACATTGTCACCAGAGTCATATACTTAAACAAGTCATTGAAGTCATATTCCCAAACAGTGTTGTATCATTGAAGTCATATTCCCAAACAGTGCTGACACATTATTAGAGTAAACTAATGAGTGTTTTTGTAAGAGTAGTTCTTAAATTTCACTATTTAATTCAAAACATTAATCCTAACCCTACTGTACGTCTAGATCTCTCAAATAAAGGATGCTGTACTATGTTGATGTTTACAGAAACATTAGACACATGGGTATTGAAAATGTCATCCTTAGTCTTGAGATGCTGATAGCTCTCTGATAAAATATTAATTAATTTTCCTCTAATAAAACATTTCAAAGATACAACTGTGTATATATATATTCCCTGTGTATACACAGCACCATCATCGAAGGTAGAGACACAAATGAACAGATACAATTTAATCAGTCATTCTTTACTCTGTTGAAATTTTTGTGTACTTAACATTTCAAAGTTGTATATTCCATTATATGAACGTCATTATCATCAAACATTTCAGTTTTTGCATAATTCTGACATCATCAGATTTCAGAAATAGATTCCAGACAAATGATTTTGTACTTACATGAACATATAAAGATGCTTGATCTTCTATAGACAAGTCGGGTTTACTAATGCCTTGACAATAATAAGCTTTACTGTCAACAGTGAACCAGGATGCTGTAGAATGTACAGTCTTTTGATGGAAACACCTCACAAGCCGATGACAGAAAGCCATCATCATTAAGACATCCAGTCAGCATGTATGACATATATAGCAACACTTCACATTTTGTATCTCACAGAGTCCTATAAATATAAAAAGGAATGGTCAGTGCGGCTGGTTTAAGGGGATAATGACTTTTCATCACAATGGATGATTATAAGTCATGCACTATTAATAAACATGTTTTTCATTTGTTTTTATTATGAAAAGTCTGCACATGGGATTTTCATTAAATTAACTGTTGAAGGAGGCACTGGATGTGTATGTTACTGCTTAAGCATTGATGAATGAGTTTCCAAGAAGATAATCGTGGGAGAAAGCTCCACTGAGTGTTTGATTAAGGACAAAATGAGAATTCGTAGGAATCTTTACCCGTCTGAATTTTTTAAAAGGCGAGGTTATTGTATTGGTTAAATTGAATTATGAAATAATCAGGAGTGAAGATTCTTTTGAGGATAAATAGCTACAGGGTTGTTGATAATTTCATGTTGCATTTGCCATGATCATGTTGGCATTAATATGGCCATGAATGCCAACTGTAAGCAGTTCAATCCTTCTATTTATTGTCTTAATTTTTATCTTCCTGTAATAAGGGAAGAAAACATCAATTCCTTCACATTATACTTGCAATATTCCTACACCTTTGGCAGTTCATGAGCTGGTAATACACAACGGACTTTGGTAAGGTTACATCATAGGAATGCCATGTAATGGTAAATATAAAGATATAAATGCAAACTGTACCAATGTCTACTTCATCATGATTACATTACATACTATACACGACTATATATAGCAACAATCAGATAACAGGGGTTGGAAACAAAATTTTTGGCCTACTGGTCACAATGTTTTGTTTTGTGGTTTTATTTTTTTCTATCTTTTTATTCCTTCCTTGCTAGCTACTGGTCTTCTTTTATATAAGTGTACACTTTAAACATTTAAGTCTTAAAGTACCAAGAAGTAGTCTTGAACTTGAGATGCATGTACAAATGACATATACTTGAGTGTATCAGTCTATCAGATACCTGCATTGTCTATGAATTGTAGGCTCCTCATCTGATGAAGAGTGGATGTATCTACTTGTAGCTACTAAATCATAGGGCCTCGTTTTAGATGTAACCATTATAATTACATGATGTCACTTTTATACAGACATATCACCAGTTGATTAAGAAATATCACCTTCCCTCTGTAAACAGCTAAGTAGAATAACAAGAGATCCCAGAGGGATTTTGGTGACCAACATTAATTGATCTTTAATTATTCTTTAAAAGTTGGATCTTTTCTCTTCTCTATTCTATTTTTGCTCACTCAAAATGATGCAAAATTTAGCATTTCTTTGCAGAAATAGCACTAATAACTACCAAATCCAAATTTGAGAGTGAACCATCTAGAACTTCTAATGAAATTGCAATAACAAAACTTTGTCAAAATCCAAAATGGCTGCCTGTGGGCATTTTTTTGCTGATCAGTACCAAAATCAAACCGGCACAACTTGGGACCAACGGCAACCTGCATATGAAATGAGAGAAAGACCCATTCTGCACTTCTCACGAAATTGTGTTAACAAACTTTCAAAAGTCACCATCTATAGGCACAATTAGGGACCAGTGGGAATCTATATATAAAATGTGAGATAAATCTATCCAATAATGGCTCAAGAAATAGCGATAACAAATTTTACTTGTGAAAATCCAAGATGACCACCTGTTGACCAGATTTTTTTCCAATCAGTCTCAAAATCAAGTGGGTACAACTCGGAGCCATGGGGGACCTACACATAAAATATGAGAAAGATTCATCAAGTAATTCTTTATCAGTAGCGGTAACAAAAATATGTCATACAGATGGATAGGCCATGGATGAAGTGCTGTTTGAATAGCCCACCATCTTGTTGATGATGGTGAAGGAAAGTTGTGCCCATATGAAACAGTTGTTTTCAGAATACAGTGACTTTCGTAAAATTGTTAACAATCATTTTTTTGCACTGATTTGCAAAAATGGACTGACCTCGTATGTCAATACATTCATAATATTAGGCTTTTATCCTTGAGGGATTAGTTTTTCTCACATGCTACACTATGTCAATGAATTTCCAGCAAAAAAATACTTTGTGTTTATGTGTGTATCTTTTCTTAAGGGTTAGATTCAAGTGTTTATTACTTGGACCCTTATTCTCAAATTAGCCATATTTCATAGTAAACTTCTTTTTTAAAACACAAACTATTTCAATTTAGTTAATTTTCCTGTCTTAATGTACAGCTCGGTAGTTAATAAAATCATAAATGAGTCATCAAAAGTGATATTTCAGAAATAATTATTTTTCCAATATTTGACAAGAAAGCAAGAAGGCATGGCCTATTATTCATGGTTGATTTTTATTACTTGACAGACGGCAACAAAACACTGGCATCCGAAGAGGTATTGATGGGTTATTTCATCATATCTGGGAGCATTTTCGACATTTGAAAATGGGTATTAAAAAAAATGACACCTTGCCAAAAATTATACTAATAATATTTCATGGTGAAGGATTTAAATAACAAATTTTCATTATTTCTGGAAGTGTAACATGTTACAGCAAGCAAAATCATCCGGATTCGAGGTCAAGCAGGTCAGTAATCATGTCATTCGGTTCAACAAAATAGCCGTTCCGAAATTCATAACGGTTCGGAGCCGATGTCGATATAAAACATGGGCCTTCATGTGACTTTCTCCAGGGACGTATATGATATACGTCCCTGCTTGCTCTAATGATTTGTAAAACTACGTCCATACGAGACAGAAGAATATATATGAACACATTTTAAAGTAAAGAAATGCTTTAAGTACATATTCAATTTTATACGTCACGTCATCAACCTACATTCGTCCGCAGTCGGTTTAACATTTTGACATCTATCCACGTGGTCTTTCTGTTTTGATTTGTTCGCCATCTTGTTATTTTTTTTTCTTTTGCAGTCAACAACACGCTTAACTTTTGCACTATAATCACGCGTTTCAACGACGCAGATTCATGCACGCCATACAGGTCGCTTTCGCTTAAGCGGTTGAAACGATATGACCACGTAAATCTGTTAGCAGGTGGCAAAGGAAGGATCCATCCGTGCCTGTCCGAAACTAACATGATGAATATAACTTGTTTTCAGAAATTCAGGTAAGGCAGAGTCAGTGCACATATTTCCGGAAGCACTGTGGTATAAAGTGGATGGAATCTTTTTTCATTTAATTGTTTTATGCTTGACAAGAAATTCCAAACTGTGTATTTTGAGTCGGTTATCAGTTCCAACATCAGGTGAATGTGCGTTTGTTTGTCGGGAAATAATTCCAGATCATCCAAACCGTTTCAACCGGGTTACGCGAAAGTGGTCTTGAACGACAATCATTTTAATTGGAAGTAGATTTTTTTCACAGTATAAATAATATGAGTCATGCAGTGTCTGGAAAGACCGATGCTTACATGCCACAATGAAATTCTCTGATGAAAGCACCAAGAAAATAAAACACCAATGAATTTTAGGTAACTGGTTAGTGCTTCAGGAAATGAAGAAAATGTAGCGGCTTCAGAGAGTGATCGATCGCACAATTACTGCAACGATCATAGCTAGATTCAGAGTAGGACGTACCCGGCCCATCCCCTCTAAACTTTGCCGAGTAGCCATCATTTGCAAGAAAAATAAATTAAACTTCCATCATCACACCTCAGTGTAGAGGTCTGATATAATACCACACTTCACCTACGAATATCCCATTTGAGGACATGAATTTATTTCATTCGCAAAACATCTCAGAGCTACGCTCCAATTCAGACCTTGAAAAGTTGACTTGTATGATTTTCGTCAAGTGTGCTTTTATTCGTTAATTTACCATAATATTTTGTACTTTATATATAAATATATAAATAAATAAATATATATATATACATGAGGATTGGTCTGCGGTCCTACTTATAATGCAATCCGTTATTATTTGTCGAACTCGAAACTAGAACGATTATAAAACATACAAGGGTAATATATATATAATATATATATATAAACAAAACAAAGATAATCTGGTAAACAAAGGGAAGTGTTGGGCATAATATATAAAACATTAGGGTTGTCCTGAGTTAACAAAATGTGTCTGTCTAATCCGCAATCGTGGATCCGCGCCTGACGTTGGCGTTTTGTGTGCTTGTTTATATTGTGACGTCATGATAGCGGTTTACGTGATTCGCTGTGTACTTGGAGAAATTTTAATTCATGCCGAGTACCTTTGTGTAAAATCATCTATAGATTAAGTAAAATTAAAAGTAAGTCTGTCAAACAAATCTTAGGAAAGTGAGAATGCTGTCATAGTATTTTTGATTAACAATAGTTCGGGATATAGATCACAGCACCTATGCTCAATGCCTTTCGCTTTCGGATGCTCTACGCCTTGCACTTCCGGAATAATTTTTCTCATATGGATAAGTCCCGAGACCTGTCGTCCTGGACGTGAACGAAACGTGACTAGAACTTGTGTAAACAATAATCAAAGTAGGATTTTTGATATGAATTATGGCAAAGCCGCGAGTGTTATCACTGATGTATTTCATGGCGGTAAAGAAACGTAACAAAATATGTGTAGACAATATTAAACCTTAAGTTAAGGAACTCATCCTTCCTTGATTGTTGTATTTGTGGTGTTCCTTACTAGTTCATGTTGTTTTCTTTTCTAAGTTTACACTTTCTGACAATCTCTGTAGGCTTGTCGGGCAAAATGTCACCAATATAGGAAGAACGGAAGAACTCGTTCTTCCCGTCAATAGTGCCACAACGGAAACCTTCAAGGCTTCAGTCAGTTGCGTCCTGCCACTCCAACCCCCACCATGCAGAACATGTCCGTAAGGACCATTTATCGTAAACAGACAGACGGACAAACTCGTGTTGTCCGTATAGATGATAAAGCGTCATGCTGCACGAGACTTTTCCTTGCTTCGCAAACGCTATATATATATTTATAATAAAGCTATGGTTGTTATCATGAAGGTATATTGGTTTTGACAGAATCTTCAGAATGGTTGTAGAAACCTTTGGATGATTCAGAACACTATTGCTCTAAATGACAGCTGTCAATTTATTTCTATTTCAGTCGTGTAACTGTAAAATTCAATAATTAACGATTTTATAGAATAATGAGGAGACAGAAAAGACCTAATATAAAACATTTAGGTTCAATATTTCAGAATATCGATACATTTATAATAACAGTCAAGGTTATTATACTTATAAAATTTCGTCAAATAAGCCCTCTTTTGAACGGACAAAGACTGGAATATGGTTTACATATTAGATTTGATGTGATTAGGTTCTAATCGTTTGTTCGACAAATAACATCATGTCGCACCGTGGAAACTAGGAACTATGGTTGTTATCATGAAGGTATATTGGTTTTGACAGAATCTTCAGAATGGTTGTAGAAACCTTTGGATGATTCAGAACACTATTGCTCTAAATGACAGCTGTCAATTTATTTCTATTTCAGTCGTGTAACTGTAAAATTCAATAATTAACGATTTTATAGAATAATGAGGAGACAGAAAAGACTTGATATAAAACATTTAGGTTCAATATTTCAGAATATCGATACATTTATAATAACAGTCAAGGTTATTACATTTATGAGATTTCGTCAAATGAGCCCTCGTTTGAACGGACAAAGACTGGAATATGGTTTAGATTGTAGTTTTGGTGTGATCAGGTTCCCAGTGGAGTCGCCATGTCCTGGGCGCAGACCAGTGGTTTTTCACCGATAATGCCGACTGTTCCCATTCATCCAAACTTGACACGTCCATAAATGACCCTAACTGTTAAAAGCATGTAGAGCACCAATAAATGGTTACACGACATATAGACAATATGTTGAAATGTTTACACATAGAATATTTTGTTCAGACAGCCGGAGGATAGAGACACGGCAGACTCGTAAGATAAACGTATCTGTACAGACTGGATGAGAACGAATTTGGGTATTCTATACTTGCACAAGGGAAATCATCTTGGCAAGGGAATGTTATAAAGAAGATGTAACATTTTTTCTTTTTCACAAATGATTAAGTTTGACTTCATCTTCCTAAACAGAAATGGTCGGCGGATATGTAATAACCATGATCGATGAGGTGTTGCGCGTTATAATAGAAAAACTGCTTCCATCACAGCTGATGAAGTAACACACGAATTCCAAATATTACCGTGCAGGTGTATGTATTACGTCAAAAGAAAACGACAAAACGGTGAAGAACATTTACTGTCATGAGTGTCATTAAACCCCAGCTAGATGAATTTGACACCACCGGAGGTAGTCGATACCTTTATAAGATATTATACAGGAAGGTTATCCGTTCCAACTGAAGTATATTACTTTGATAAATATTGAAGATAGGATAATGCCAGCGAAAAGAAACGTTTGAAGAAAGATTTTGTTACAAAGTAATCTTTCCTGTGACAGTAAATCGAACATACAAAGTGAAGACGTAGGTCGCCAACCCAATAATATAGTCCGCAAATGAATGGCGCATAATTGTTCTAAAACTGAGCAAAATAAGCGAGAAAACAAATGGATGCGGTCATCGTCATTTTTGTATAGCTACACGTTAGGTAGTTCAACCCAGAACTATGTTAGATCCAAACCTCAAATCTACATATCAGCGAGATCTGCGGCCCTGAGGGAAGCTCCACTTGCATTCTAGAAAATAATACTCTAGACGGAAAACCACCAATCGAACAACCGATCTACCGGCAGATGGCATAGATCGTCAATCTTATCAACGAAAAGGAACACTTGATATTGTTAAAGGGAATTAAGACGACCTACAACAACCAAAATGAACACAAAATTTAAACATTGAAATTCCCCACCTATTAATGTACAATGAAATATGATTATCATATCCTTTCAGATATTTGGTAGTTTCTCATTATTTCACAAAAGTGCAAATTGAAAAAAAAACTGAAATGTAGGACACTGTTTTTTTCAAATAGTCGTATTATTTGTTGAATGATTCATTAATTTCTAATTCAAAATAGTATTTTCACAAATAAAGTAATCTTATCGTTACCAGCTGTGCCTGTAAATAACAACTACAAAATACCAACATGTGAACAGAATCTTAATCCAATTTCAAATTCAATATAACAAGTGTAAAATATGGTCAAAAGAACAATTTACACAGAAAAAGTACAGGGTGAATAAGTCCAGGTGTTCCGGAAGAGTCTGCGTCTTTTGCTTTATCGTCGATACCCGCCATGTAAATCTTGGTCGATCCGATATCATATTCCCATATGAGATCAATCAACATTCAAACTAACGAGCATGAAACACTTTAAGATTCATATTACACAAAAAACATAGACTATTTCTATGACGACCGTAACACTTTCCTTTCTCTCGAAACCCTCTGTTATTGGTTTGTCAGTTGACGACATCTTGCACGAAAATCGTAATATTGGAAACAGACCCTTAAATATCAAATCAGCTGTGACATGTAAACACCATACCTATATCTAAATTTATCTGAATTTATTCTTGTGACATGTAGGAATCAGTATCACCGAGAGAGATCCTTATTAATGAAAGGCAATCAAAACGATTGCAATATTGAAGTATGATAAGCCGTCTTTTGAAAGATTGGATAGGTGAGGTTATTTTCGTTATCGAGCAAACATAGTTGTTTTTACAGGAAATGTGATAATGTCTGCAGACGAGGATCACGATATTGGGCACCTTATCTAAGTATTTTAAGTTTTAGGAAAATATACATACCGCGATATACTTGTATATAAGAACTGAATTTAAAACGATGGTTCATGTACTTAAATTAGAATCCTGTCAAATCAACAATAGCGATTTTATGTATCGTTGTCGGGGTAGATTGTTGTTTAGAAGTATAATTTACTGAATTTGAACAACCTGATATTAGACAGTCTCCACGCACTCGATTATCTTCAACTCTGGAATGTCGACACACACTGAACATATTTTTGAGTGCCACAGATGTCCCATGAAATTCAGTTCTACATGTTTATAACCAGTAGGAAAACACCACCAGATAAGGCGTGAACCCATCCACTCTTTCTACAAAACATAACATCTTCGTCACTTTGACACACATATAAAGCAATCAGGACACTCCTTTTGGAGCAATATATGTGTTGCCTCTACTTGTACTGACGATAAAGCGATATGGCACGCTTCTCCAGGGATGTCGCATGCCATGTCTACATAGGAAGTCCTCATCGACGCTTTGAAATCCAATTTTATCGTTGTCAAGGGAGACTGGAATACCACATCATTCTACTGTGGCACCTAATCCCGTACATGTTAAGAAAATGAAGCATCTGGGCTTTTCAGTAATTAAAACTATTAAATCAAAAGGGAGTAGATTCGTTCACTAGCCCAATACAAAACTACTTCTGTCTTACTCCTGGGACCAGCGCTACATAGCAGAATGAGGATGCAACAGATAAAGTCAAACCGAACGCAGATATGACACAGAACGATTACTGAGTGAAAGAACAAGAAAAGGTTAGCAGGTACCCGTTAGACGTATAATGGGAGGGCCAAGAAGGATAGCACAAAAGGAGGGGGGAAAATGTACAGCATTAGTAAAAAAAGGCGACTAGGAACACACTCCATCATATTTGTACAAGTGTTACTGAAACATAAAGTATGAAAGGACATCACATGTTTATTTGTACAAATGTTACTGAAACAAATGCATGCATACATATCTACACCTCAATGACAAAACAGAAAAGGCGAGCTTATTCATTGTTAGTCAGCCTAAATTAGTCACGAGACGATAATTATTTAAATTGTGATACAAACACTACAAATTCCCATACTTTCTTTGTATTAACCGTTTAAACTGACCACTTAGCGGTATCATATTCTTCCAATCCCTCCTCCAACAGTGTCACTATTTATTCGAAATAAATCAGTTTCACAAATGACTTAGTTCTACCATTCCAAATCGATAAGAACCCGTGAGCCAACTCAGTCAATTAGGGAGTAAGTGTATGAAAAGTCATTATCAGATTTTGGTCTGTTGTTCAGATAAACGGAATGAAGTAAGAGATTTCAAGAACACCATGGGATGAGCAGTACAACGACATAAAACTAAACAGGAAAGCACGGAACAAAAGGTCATGGTCATCATTTTATTACAATTTTGTCAGTGAAATATGGGAGTTTACTAATTTTATACAAATTATGCAGTGTTGATATAAGTATTTAACTTTTGTAGTTTGCACAAACCAGAGAGGTGCTTTCTTGCAGTGAAAGTCGCCAATTTTTCATGTCGGACACAGAAGAAGCGAAGGTTGAATAATTTAGTTTTCCATGAATTTATTCACGTGAACATTCCTGGTTTGCCTCTAGTTTGTTATATAGTAACAGTTTTGTAAGCGATAGCTAACCAGATAACAGCATGAAATGATGGTAGAATATCACAAAAAGCAGTCGGTAATATTTCCCGAACCTTATATATAATATTTCATTCGTGCTTCACAGTCGTAAAGATATATGTATATAGTGAATATGATACTTAAACGTAAGACGATAAAATACCCTCTATATATTTATATAGTGAGCTCAATATTTTGAAAATAAAAAATCTGAAAACGTTTTTTCACTGTAAAAGTCATTTCGAGAGTTTTTTTAGCTATTGTCGAGAATGTAATAAAATAACAATAAATGAATACATTTAAAAAAAAATCGAGAAAATCACATTCCATTTATGACTTACATGGTAACTTGAACATAAGTTTATCGCCGCATTATTACTGAACTGCTGGTATAAGTCTGATTTTTTGTTTAAGTCCAATTTAAAATATTCCATAGAGTTTACAACATTAACTATTGACCGATGACTAACATCTTTGAAATAATAAATATGATTTTGGCAAAATTTGAAAAACACAGCATGGCTGTCCAGTCTATATAGAAATAGGCATTAAAAACCTGCAATAACACAGGACGGATTCACAATCTTTATAATCAATGTAATTCGAACACTCCAAAAACCTCGAAAATAAGCCGACTTCAACATAAGGCTACCTGAAAACAAGTCCTTAGTTTCTTACTAAACAACCTTTTACTATTGAGGAAACTAAGCGTATTCTATTTCCGAGTTTTCCAGTATTTAACCAGTAACCTTCACAAATATTGAGAATAATATTGATGAAGCCGAGACAGTATTCTAGATCTTATAATTTGAATGAATACATCTGTGGTTAGATTTTGAGTGTTTTTACCTTTAAAGGATAGCACAGGTTAGAATTAAACTATTACGCCACCTGGTGACATTTACTATAGTCATGTGGAAGTAATACATCCCGGCGTTCCGTCTAACTAACATCATGGAATAGATTGAAGTTATTTAACTTTCGACCTGGTAACATTTTCTCATAATTCCTTTTGCTGTGTAACGCACTAGTCTTGGCACGGACAATGTCTCCCGTTTTGTAACTTAAATGTGTTAGTGACAGCAAACATTTATACCGTCAAAATGTCATTTAGACGAAACGTTTCCATTCTATAACAACATTTAATAGGAAGATGGAGACGGATCTAACAATTACTGAGATTTATGGAGAAGCCCTAAAGGCTGTTTTCCTTCGATGAGGAATTTATGAAATATTTTGTTCGGTATATTGATGTTATAAGTCCACTTTAACAATCACTATGTATAAACACGGCCATATAAGTATTACTGTGTATCGCTCCATTAGAGGGGAAAACAATCTCCTGTATGTAGTAATTCAGCATATGTACCCCGCGCCGTGTTATAACTACTCCGGAACTTTGACAAGTCAGTGGATATCATATACGCTTAACAATCCACAAGTCACGTGATTTGAAATAAGGAAGTTAAATTCGTATACATTATTAACATTGTGGGTTTGGGTGGAGGAGTGACAAGACGTTACACGGGCTAGTTAATGCACCATCAAATACATTGTCTGGTGAAGTTATTTTTGAGGAGATCACTGGTAAGTGTATTTAAAGAGATACTAGTCTGGCTTTAGGTTGTACTTGTCTCGTGTATTGTTCAACTATTGTATGCGGAAGAACTTTGTAAACAACAAAACCAGCCCGAGCGTTTACATTATAAAGTTTGTAAATGAATTATAAGATAATGCTACATGTTATAGACGTACCAGATTAACTGACGATGTATTCATTCTGATAGATAATGTAGAAAATGTGCTGTAGTTTAGTATTAACTTTACTTTATTACTGATGCAGAAACTCTATGTTCAACGAACCGATTAAAACTGGAATGCGATAGGAATTCCATGCTTCAAATACCATTTATTTTTCATCCTAAATCATACAACAATGTGTAAAGTTTATAGAAACCATGTTCAGACCATTCTAAATGGGTTACTTCCTCATCATATTAATACCTACGTACATATATACACAGCAAGTGATATGTACGTATACACGAGAAATGATACAGTATAAAAACGAACCTTTTGAAAGTGTGTGTTATGGGATGGAATACTTTAGGCGATATATTGACAGAGTGCAGTGATTACAAGGACAAATCAATTATGACCTTTACAGAGTACAGGGCTAGATTTGTTACAACTCTATATATACCTGTGTTGTTATATCGTTGAATGGTGGTAGGCTGTTGCTGTGCATGCCATTTAAGATACGCATGACATATTTTCGACTATACTTAAAAAATGAAAATCATGTCGATGTGGTTGTCCTACCTACATATACCATTGTTCTGCCACTGACACATTTATTTATGTATTATGTATGTGTAGCAGATTTAAACCGGAAGCCGCCACAATTTAAACGGATTTTGTAGACAAACACTGAATTCACTTGTGCGCCACAATTAAAACTGACTTTAGAGACAATCACTGAATTAATTAGAGTAAACGGACGGCATAAGATCTAAATAATCAACATGTTTATTTTTTTATCAGCACATTTTAAGCTTTAGTTATCCGAGTACAAACAATCCATTAGCCGGCAGGTTATCAGAGATACCACGACGCGATCAATAGGGAAGTTAAAATGAACCGTATTTACTTATCGTGACCAGTCTCACAAGGAAGTAACTTTATATATACTGCATATATATAGTACTACCTTCATATCGCAAACACAAAAATGTGACGTCAGGGGTTCAAACCTGATGAAGTGATAACTACTACTCATTCGATGATCCTTTCAAATGCGACACCATTTCATAAATCGTTCTATTTTGGCCCTCGACCGATTTCCAATAATTGATATCATCAATAATATATATCGATATTATATATCGTTATATAACGGTTAACTGCTAATTTAATATTTCAAACCCATTATTAATTAATATGGAGGGAGTGGTCCAAGATCTGGATTAATGTTTCGATGACTTGACACCTGACTCTTATCTAAAAGTTACCAGGACTTTAAGGGGGGTTTTGACCGTCACCAGAGTAAGATTTGCACGAAGTGAATAGTATATCTGACAGGCTCCGAAGAGGATGATCTTTGAACACATAAATCTCTGGAGTTAATGTAAGTGCTCAGTTGAGTATTAGAACGAACAGGAATCTTGCTGTGATGAATGTATGCGAGAGCATCACATACGGATCTTAGCCAACCGCCACGATCTGTAAAGTTTCATTTAAGTATCCATTTGTTGACAAGATGAACACAATAATCTATTTTAACTAGCTGCACCACCTAATACAAATTAACGAACAAGCGTAATCCAGGCATCGCACATGACTTATGTTTGGGTATGCTTTAACGTTCGAATAACAGTTCAATGTTAGTGGTTTTCATATCCTCCTTGCAAACTTCCAAGACATAAAAGTACAAGTGGGGAAAATGCTTAATGTACTGACATAGTAGAGGACTATTATGTTAAATGTTGTAGTGCTATGTTAAGAAGTGTTTTAGAGTACAACTTTTACAGGTATGTGATTAAAATATATTATGTTATAGAAATGTGCATTAATACCATTTACCAAGTTACAAAGTGGATAATGAATATGAAGGAGACTAGTTTTGTCGATGTTTCATGATATCGATATGTTTCAGAAATTAGAATTTGTATATAACGATATATCTAAATGCCGAACACCGCAAATTTTTTGTTTTGTGTCAGACTGCAGGGTCTGCACGTGGTTATAATACCCTTGTGGTTCACGGGTAAAGGCAACACAAAGGTTTTTTTTTAATGTTATTATTGTTTATATTTAAAAGAGGTATGGCGCGTAACCGCCAGAATCGACCTAAATGTGACCAACAGTAAAATACAAAAATAATTTTCCACTTCGGTGAATCCGGATAGGTTATCGCGATGAGCTACATGTATATCTAAATACCAATTACTAGAAAAATATCTTGGTTTATGTGTCATGTTTTCTTTTGTATATATCGTCAAAGTTTCTCCTGAAGCAATTTGCACTAAAACATTCCTACCTGACAGTGTTGGAGACAAGTCAGAATGTCATCTCAATGTTCAATGAAATTTCTTATAAGAAAAAGGTTACATATAAAGGAGTTAACTTGTCGTTACATTAATCTTTTGTTTTGCCTTTTCTTGTACATTTCCCAGCTGTAATCGTAATATCAGCAGCGACATACACGGCTAACACTCCACTTTTCGTACGTACATATTCTATATTTAGATATGGTGACTCCGAATGCATGTTTACATATCATTATTAGTAATATATTTTTAAATCGACCAAGGCGATAAACTGAAATAGGTGCTCTGTCACGATAAAGCGCCATACCTCTTTTGTGATGGTTTGGAAATATGAGTTAACTTCTCTGTGATATATATATTATATCTGCGAAATCGAGTCATTGTTGATTAAATGCTGGAAAAAAAATATTTGCCGTGATGTGTCCAATGATGTGTGTAGAAAGAGAGGACATCCATGTTTGTATTATCTATACATCTCTGTCAATAAAACGTTTGTAACGAAAAAAGTATTAAAAGGCCTTGATGTCAAACATAATACTTAGATATAAAGGATTTTTCGTGATTGATGTTATTCTGAGATCATCAGAATTCTACATGTGAAGCTTTATATTGAGATTTTACATTATTGTAGATGTGATATCTAATATAATGTTAAGGTTGAGAAAACAAAAGTCCATTCCACGACAGATACATCTAATTTTTTTTATCAATCTTTTGTTAAAACTTTTCTAAAAGCCGATAAAAGATCCTTGTACAATTAGGCGATTCAATTATTTTTTTTATTTTGCTACTTATGTAATTTGATAACATTTTTAAATATTTACAAATTAACATATGTATAAGTAGCCACAAGCTCTGCAATCATTACAGTGACAATTTTAGAACTCAAACACGTAATATCAATTCATGTATAGAGAAAAGGAAAGAAATTAAACATATGGCTTAAATCAAAATTTCAAATTAAGTTACGAGAAAAAGAAATCAACAACATACTTCTAGGCAAGCCTAATTTGACATTCATATAGGACAGGTGAAACGTATTTTACACTTTTAGGACTGCATGCGATTTATAATCTAGCTTTTTATGATATCACAATAATAATATTATATATATATATATATAAACTACTTCACTTGGATGAGACAGTGTTGCTTAGCATTCGATGTTTTGTAGTACTGCATTGAAAAGCAACATTACATGTTAGCTCCTGTTAATTTTGATGTTAACTTTCCGTGACATATTAAGGTACTTAGCAGTGATGCTTAATTGTCATTGTCTCCGGGGAAAACGTCGTGTAGAAGAGCTGGAAGCAAACTTCATAAGAAGCGCTCTTTCTAGACAATATCTTTCATAATACTTACTTAAAACCATATCAAGTTTCTGTCTGCAATAGCATAACACATCAGAAATCATTAGTGTATATGTTGTCAGTAGGTTGTCACTCGTAGTGCCGAGCTTACGCTTTCGGAATCAAATCAAGGATACGCTTATGAAACAATCTATATTTCCCTTCCACAAAAGATTTCCTATACATCTTGTCTGTTTTTCGTTTTGTATAACAGCATATTTATCACACTATGTCTTGATTAATTTTGCTGAAACCTTTTTACATATATGTCATTTGCTTGTAACAACCGACGTCAGCATACCAAAAAGATATATGAAGGCTCCTGTCAATGATGAATTCTGTTTCCCGTCACGTAATGCCTTGCGTAATGCCTAAATCACTGGGTAAAATCCCATAAAGAAAATAAATACTATTAAAACTTTTTCTTATTCCAGACTCAGGCTTATGAGATTTAGTCTATATCAAACTGGGTTTAACGTCCGCTCTCTCGAATGATTAATGGTTTCTCCTACCTTAAAGCATTTCTCACTATAACGAGCAATAGAACATTGGAATTATCGATGTGAATATTTTTACTTTTCTTTTCAGAATCTCAAACCCTGTAAAGATCAGTTACCGTAATTTGTTACATTTATGCCCACTCGCTTCCAAAGAAATATGCGTACATTAAAAGCTTTTTACAAAATGTTCAGTTTATTGTCTTTGGGATATACACAAGAAAATACAATGTATGGTAGATTTATTCTAAATGTCCTGTTTCATTATACAGTTAACAACGTACTATGCAAACTACGCCCCATTACATGGAAATGCTCGTAATACATCTGACAATTACTGATTTCACAGGGCCAAGATGAGTTTGCCCGCCGGTTTGTATGACGCTTTCCGCGAAAATGGTGCCCCAACCTACTATGGACCCAACCAAACGGCATTCATGGCGGATGTGCTGGAAGCGGGTTTTGTCTTTGCTTTCATCATCCTTGCCATTTCGTTCTACGTTGTCCTACCAGGAATCCGAGGCAAAGAGGTCAGTCAAGCTGCAAACCCATACACACTCCCGAAAAAAAAAGCACGTGTCTAACACTTTTCATCATGTTTCCTGATGTTTCTTTGTTAAAGATACTAAAATGTGATTTTTTTTTAAAAAAGTGGTCGTTTAAATATAAAAGGAAATATATAATTGTAAACATTCTACATTTAGATTGGAATATAAAGATTATTTTTGTCGTACCTTTTCAATTCTTCTTAAATTTATTTTCAGAGAATCTTCGCTTTCATTCGAATAACGTTTTTTTTGTTCATTGGAGCCGTGATAATGTGTAAGTTTGCATTACGATAAGCTTTATGTAAACGTTATCGATCAGAACGGATGTATAGGGCAAATAGACTGGTATTAATTATTGCGACTTTATTGGATTAAAAAAATAACAATTAACGGGACGCAGAGAAATGAAAATTAAAGAGTAAATCAACTATTTTCCAAATTGAATCCTATTTCAAATACATATTCAAATTGTGTGGTACAGTTGTTCGTGTATAACTTAACTCCATCCCTAGAAATGAATTCAGAAACAGACACACGTGAGTAATTAGTATCATGTCTGCAGTGTTAGCTGTTTTCTGATCTATTATATCTCCTCATGTTGTGACTAGGACCCGATCTGTGTTTACAATTAAACTGTGTTTTATACTTACTTCTGTAACGCCATTGCAGTGGCCAACCTCTCATATGACTGGGAAGTATCGGAAATAAAGGACCTAACAGTGAAATACAAAGCGGGATCAAAGGCAGATATCCACGCAGATGTGGCGGTCCACATTGGACTCCGGGGGATCAACATAACGCTGAAAGGTAGCAGAACAATATCCTTCTTAAACGGCAATGTTACATTAGGCAGTAAAACCTAAATTTTTTTTCACAGGAGACCGTAACATTTCAGTTAGTTCACAAATATTTAGTAAACTGTAAATTGTATTTTTGTTAGAATCATTTCATTGTCTTAAAATTATGCATTTTCATTGGCACAAATATTTGTGGATAAACCATGTACACACAAAAATAAATGATCTGTCAGTAAGGAATGTAGTTTGAATGGCTTACATATATAATAAATCTGCAATTACTTTTACTTTTAGAAGGATATCATGAAAAATGGTTTAACGAATATAGCTTTCATGACAATTAGGTTATCAAAGGAATCGAGTACCCGGAGAGAACTGTCATATGGGATTGTTGTCTATTTTCTAAAACATCTGCTCCAATTATGTCGCCATGTGTTGAATAAGGCCATATAAAGATATTTAAAGGTTTTACACTTTATTTATGATATATGAGGTTTCATATGAAATGCTTTACAGGGCTGCCAGAGATCCAGAATGTTGACAATCTTAATGAAACCATCAACTACAACGAACATTTTGACTGGAGATGGGAGCAGGGAAGGTTTGGTTTTGGTATCTTTGGTAAGTTGACAACACACTAAATTCCTTTAATAGACTTAAGATATTGTAAGATGTGATCAATCAATAAAAATCATATCCACCTTTCTTTCTAGCCGGGAGATTCAATCGTGAGTTTCGGGCGGCCCAATTCCGAGGTTTACCTCTCCCAATCCTTTGGATAGCCGAGTACTTCACATTTGATGGAGAGGGAATAAGATGGGGTCGCCACTATCGACAAGCGGGATGGTACGCACACATCATGATGTGGTACGTAGTATGCAGGATTATAAACGAAAATTAATGTGTCTAGGAAATATGTCTCATAAAAATCATAAACGTAAATGAATGTGACATGATACTTATTCACTTGTCAGTACCAGAACGACCCTTTTCCAATTTTAGGTTGGCCCTTCCATTATGGGTGCTGACTGTAATATTGTTCTACGTTCTCCTTCGGTACGGAGCTTGCATGCTGATGTTGACAGGAGCAGTCATGGTAACAGCCAACATTATTTGGTCGTCCATACGAAACTTTAATGAATTGGTCATCCCTTTCACCGACACGAAGCAGCTTGCCTTTACATATGGTGGTTCGTATTGGATCAATCTTATTGTTGGTAAGTATATTCCATATGCACTCTTTACAAACAAATCGAAAACGCGATATTTTGAACGAAAGAAAGCTTGACTGCATATTTGATTGTAGGCGGAAGTCATATACAACATGATCAGGGTAAGCGTGTCTACTTTGGTAATGGTAGTTCTGAACGTCCTGTAAGGTGGCATTGTCTGAAACCATGCTTTATTAGGTCACCTGAGCCGAAGGTCTCATGGTGACCTATTGCCATCATGATTTGTCTGTCGTCGTGCATCGTGCGCCGTGCGTCGTTAACTTTTCACATAATCGACTTCTTCTCAAGAACGACCGAATGGATTTTGACCAAACTTGGCACAAACCATCCTCATGGGAATCCACTTCAAGTTTGCAATGAAAAAATGGGACATGGCCCCAATAGGGGCCCTAGAAGGGGGTAAAGTCAGATAAATCTTTAAAAATCTTCTTCTCATGAACCAACAGTCAGAATAAGTTCATATTTGATATTTAGGGTCCCTTTGGCCAGGTCTACAAAGTTTGCGAATGAAAAAAAAAAAAACTGGTCAATAACGGCCCCACTAGGGGGCGCTCAAAAGGGTCGAAAATTCAACTTTGACGGATTTCAATCAAATTTGGTAGACAGCATCCCTTAGTGAAGGACATATGAAATTAAGTTGAAAAAAGTGATTATGTCCCCTTTGGGGCCAATAAGGGGTGTAAAAGGGGCCATATGTAAAAACCTTCTTTAAATGACTTCTTCTCAAGAACCAATGGATGGATTTTGACCAAACTAGGCACAAAGCATCCCCATGGGAATCCGCTTCAAGTTTGCGAAGAAAATGGGGCATGGCCCCAATAGGGGCCCTAGGAGAGGGGAAAAATTGGGTAAAATCAGATAAATCTTTAAAAATCTTCTTATGAACCAACAGTCAGAATAAGTTCATATTTGATATTTAGGGTCCCTTTGGCCAGGTCTACAAAGGGGAAAAAAAAAAAAAATGGGTGTAAAATTAGGTAAATCTTAAAAAATCTTCTTCATATGAACCAACAGTCAGATTAACCACTGGGTTGATCATGTCTAAACTTGATACGAATGTTCTAAACATGGTCCTGGCAAGTGTTTTAACTTTTTGGGGCGATTCAAAATCCAAGATGGCCACCCTGGCCTCTGTTTTGCTAAGACATTTTGGACTTCCTCTCAAGAACCACTGGGTGGATCATGTTCAAACTTGGTACAGATGTTTTACACACGATCCTGCACAAGTGTTGTTACATTTTTGCGACATTTTAAAATCCTCAGATTATTGACATATATTCCTCAGGTGACCGTTAAGGCCACTTGGGCCTCTTGTATAACAATTCATTCGTTACACAGGAATTCTCTGTATCGTCCTGGGAATCATCATCTACATCATGGACCTGCGATTCCCAACAGCAATCTCCTCATTCTTTGGTGTTGATGTCCTGCAAGATCTGGATGAAGTCCAGGAGGAAGGTTTGTCTCCCAAATAATTTAATTATACCATAAATACGAAGTACATTCAACATGCGGATAACTTCAGATTAGTTAAAAAAAGATGATAAAATTCTGCATTAGATAAACATTACCTTGATATTTTTGAACTTGTAGCGTGTGGCGGATGACCCCCGTTGAACTACAGATATCCGTTATAATACGATATATTGATCAATCTTAAAGAGCTGTTCCAGATAAAAAAATATAATGCAGTGTATCAGTAATTGCTACCTGTATGGTCATACGATGTAGACACAGAGACAATCAATTGTTAAGGCGATTTGTTTCAGACTTAGGATTACAAAAGAGTGATAAAGGCGGTATGGAAATGGACGAGATGCCAAGTTCCTCTGCGAATGGTCATCGCCCCGCCCCAGCTGCCGCTACCGCAGCTGAAAGTGATGATGACGACGATGAGATATATGAACCTCCGGTAAGGCATCATTACATGACTATTTAGACCCAATGGAATATAAATCAAATATGCTAATGACATTTTAGTTGGTAATGCTCTATAGCTAAGGTCATTTAAGGACGACCTTCTTATGTACGGGAGATGAGTGAACATGCTAACTGTGAGGGTTTTTTCTTGAAAACTGCTTGCGGAACTGAAGTCTACTGTATAATATTGCCGCAAGGTAGTATGCTGCCGAAATCTTTCAACAGCATGGCCCCACATGGTCACATTGTACTGAAGTGAACCATAATGCGAATGCTCAACTTAATGCCAAAGGTGATGAAGAGTCAAAAGGTATCAGATATTAATATTTAAATATTTATATATTTTATAAATATTTAAAAGTATTTAAAAAAAGTGTAAGGTGTATATTTGTATATTATAAATGTATGTTGTATGTGTTTATTTACCAATTAATTAATCAAACAATTTTTTTAACAATAATCTCAGGAATGTTTAGTGGGTTTGAATTGTGTAACTTTGTGCTCTACTTTAGATGTTCCACGTACAACAGCAGCAGCAGAGGGAAGAGCTCTACCAAAAACGGAAATCTCGAAATCTGACCAAGAGATGGCAGACTCCACGTCGGAGACCACCGCCTCCAATTCCTGGAGATGATTCCCCGGATGAGATTTACGAAAACGCAGGGTGGGTACAACTGCATAAACTCAATAATACTTCAAAATTTAAAGTTTAATTACACAGATTAATAAAACTTCATCTATGAGAAATCAGAAGTTATTTGAATTCGATGAAAATTATATCATTACTACATGTGTCATTTATAAAAATTGATATGAGCTATCCTATTGCATCCACCTGCTTACTACGGTTTCACAACCGATTAACAAGTGTGATACCACGCCTTTTATCAGGGTAAGCTCTACCAGTATATTATTGCAAACATGCTGGTCGATTTATACTTTACTATTCAATTATATTCCAGATTTAATAGAGTGTAAACAGGCTTCAGGGCAGTGGATACATCTGGATCTCGTGGTAAGACTTAGTTTCATAAATAAAAAGTCAGGAATTCAAGGACCCGAGGTGTAACGCATATGTGTTACTTACTCATGTGGCTCGGCGATATAGACATGACTAAAACGTCATCTGCGTGTAACATAAACGTATCCACATTAGCAACAATACGGTTATAACAGAGACAGTAACATGAAATCACAAAAACGTTGGTTTTAGTATTGCAACACACGAACATCAACATTAACAACACGATACACAAACGCACTAAAATAGACATTTTTGATCGCAGACAAGTATGCGTTATTGCAGGTAGACTTTCGTTCCGAAGACTGATACCGGTGTATACAGCGGCAGTTCAGTTTATTCACGTCTGATGTTTTTTAAATCAAAAATCTGTATTGGTAACTTAACATACAAAATAAACGAACATTTACATTATTCAATACCATAACAGCTATATTAAAGCATTTGGGGGAAACACAATAAATATTAGTCAGTAATATTAGGAAAAACGGCTTTAGTGAACTGAAATCAAACATGAAGGATAATAACCTCGGGAAATCGACTAAATTAGTAGCATGTCATCAAAAGTTTGAAGATAGTATCTTAACAAAATCTGCGTCATTATAAAAAGAAATAAAATAGCAGTATATTAACTTAGATCAATGTACATTAGTATTGATACGCAAGTGTTCATAATATTGTTTTACGGCTCTTCATTTGTTCAACTTTTCGATAATTTCGATTTTCTTTTTTGACAATGATTTACCCTTAATGTCTACGGTGTAATTGTGGTCTATTAACAATGTTTTTTTTTTTATTTTTGTAGTCTGTTCCGGAACAAATGGCCTTCTGATTAGAGAAGACCCGTTCAGTTGGATATTTATAACTTCATTTTTACTTTCGAATGGACTAATGGTAAAGCACCGATATGCTGTGACGTCGAAGCGAAATGAAATAGTAACTACAGAAACAGGAAAATGCTATAACTGTCGAACAGTGGCTGCTCTCGCCATCGTTTACCGTAAACGCCGTTATTGCAAGCATCACCATTATTTATATATCGTTGCCTAAATGGCGTAAAGTGTGTGTTGATAGAAGCAATCGTGTTCCCTGACGATATTGCAGAGCCATACTTTAATGTGACACGTCCAGTGGTTTATCGTTTACATTTTGCCATATATCTTGATATAGCTATGTGTTCTTTCATAGAACATTACCTTTTATTTCAGTTATCATTAAATACTGTTTATCGCACATTTAACAATCCGAATTCATACTAAAAACTTTGTTAGCGTATTTCTTTATTAATATGTGATGTATTGATTGCGTTAGTCCCACATAAATAAACATATATCACAAATGATATTTTCATATTTTTGTTGATTTTTTATAGATATATTTGCATCTCTAATAAAAAAAACCATGTAGTAAACTACGCCAAGGAAATCTGCAATCGTTTAATATACCTCAGAATAAGGTCTACAGGTAAGATATGGAAGCATGAAATTGGTTCCCAGTTCCCAGTGTCGTTAAAGAAAAAAACGGACTGCGAACCAGATCCTTATTCCATATAAAGAAAACGTATAAGCTGACAAATCAAAAGGTCCAATACAAATAATATGATTTTAATTTGGTACAGGAATCGAACCCATAACCTTTCAGATAGAAATTAAGATTTCCATAGTTTTTGAAAAGGAATAGGTCTTATACGGAAATTTCATTCAAACTCCAGATTCACTAAAACTTAAACGGAACTGGGAATGGGAACCAGTTCCTAGTTCCGTTGAGGTAAAACGTCAAAGATTGCCTTGGCATTCATGAACTTGTAGCGTGTGGCGGTTAACCCCCGTTGAACTTTCAGATACCGCAGCTGAAAGTGATGACCACGACGATGAGATATATGAACCTCCGGTAAGGCATCATTACATGACTATTTAGACCCAATGGAATATAAATCAAATATGCTAATGACATTTTAGTTTGTATTGCTCAATAGCTAATGTCATTTAAGGACAACCACCTTCCGGTGTACGGGAGGTGAGTGAACATGTTAACTGTGTGAGTTTTTTCTTGAAAACTGCTTGCGAAACTGAAGCCTGTTTTATGATGTTGCCGCAAGGTAGTATACTGCCGAAATCTTCAAACAGTACATCCCAACTTGGTAACACTATACTAACAACATTTGAACCAATTGTTACTTTACCATGATGCGAATGCCGATGCCGATTTATAAGAAAATGATATACTCTGCTAAATTATTAAACAATATGCCCAGGAAGGTTTGGTGGGAATGACTTGTCTAACTTTATGTTGTACTCCGCATGTTCCGCGTACAACAGCAGCAGAAGAGGAACAAGCTCTACTAGAAACGGAAATCTCGAAATCTGACCAAGAGATGGCAGACTCCACGTCAGAGACCACCGCCTTCGATTCCTGGAGATGATTCCCAGGATGAGATTTACGAGAACGCAGAGTGGGCACAACTGCATAAACTCGATGCGAAATGAGAAGTTACCTTAATTAGATGAATATTATGTCATTACTACAGACGTCATTTATAAAAATTGATATAAGCTATCCTATTTCATCCACCCGCTTACTACGGTTTAACAACCGATTAACAAGTGTGATACCACGCCTTTTATCAGGGTAAGCTCTACCAGTACATTATTGCAAACATGCTGGTCGATTTATAATTTACTATTCAATTATATTCTAAATTTAATAGAGTGTAAACAGGCTTCAGGGCAGTGGATACATCTGGATCTCGTAATAAGACTTACAGTTTCATAAAAAGTCAGGAATTCAAGGAACTCATATGTGTTACTTACTCATGTGGCTCGGCGATATAGACAGAACTAAAACACAGGGGATATCTCCATTAACATAAACATATCCACATTAGCAAGAATACGCTTATTACAGACTTTACAGAGAACAATGTCAGAAAAATTGACATCAGCAGCACAACACACAAATATTGATGAACTAACACACCTACTTCAACATTAATTCACAACATCGACATTAACATCACATCACACGAACGTTGGTTTAAGTAATGCAACACACAAACATCTACATTAACAACACAACACACAAACGCAGTAAAATAGACAGTTTTGATCGCAGAGAGTGTATTATTGCAGGAAGACTTTAGTTTCAAAGGTTTGATCACAGAGAGTGTATCATTGCAGGAAGACTTTAGTTTCAAAGGTTGATATTTCTGTATAAGACGGCAGTTCAGTTTATTCACGTCTATTGTTTTTTTAAATCACCACTCCATTCGATGTTTGCAATCGGATTTACCAAGTTTAATTTTTCTTAGTCATTTCTAAGGTTTCAATCATGTAAGGTCCATAGCATCATTTATAAGTCCCAGAAGGACGAAACCAACTGTATTAAGCAGTTAAATTCTCAGATTTTAATTTTCATTTAAAAGAACGTACGGGGAATCTACATCAAAGCGAAACAAAAAATCTGTATTGGTAACTTAACATACAAAATAAACGAACATTTACATTATTCAATACCATAACAGATATATTAAAGCATTTTTTGGAAAACACAATAAATATTAGTCAGTAATATTAGGAAAAACGGCTTTAGTGGAATGAAATCGAACATGAAGGATAATAACCTCGGGAAATAGTCTAAAACAGTAACATAATATCAAAACATTGAGGATAGTATCTTATCAAAATATGCTTCATTAGAAAAATCAAATTATAATATCATTATATTAACTAATGTTTTTCTCGCATTTAACATTCCAAATTCTTACTAAAAACTTTGTTAGCATATTTCTTTATTGATATGTGATGTATTGATTGTGTCTCATATGAATAAACACATATCACAAATGTTTTCAGATTTTTGTTGTTAAATTTTTTTATAAATATATTTGCAAGTCTTTGCTAGCATTTAATGTATCTCAATAAGGTCATGTAGTTTACTTCGTCAAGGAAATCTACGTTCGTTTAATATATCTCAAAATTGATATGTATACATCGATCACGATGTATGTTTGACATACCACACCATAAAGCTATATGTGTGATATGTTTTATACACCACGCCTGTAAAGCTGTGTGTTTGATATACCTGTCCTATGAAGTTGTAGTTATGATATACTACATCTTTCAATAATGATGTTTAGTATAATTCGTTATCCATGTTTTATAGTTGGTAATTTTTCGTAAATCTGTAAACGTTTTGTAGATCACGTTTAAAAACTATGTTTGATGCACAAGATCTTTAAGGCTACGTGTTTGATATGCCGCACCTGTAAAGCTTTGTCTGGTATACCTCACCTCTGAAGCTGTGTGTTTACTATACCACGCCTTCGAAGTTACATTTTTGATGTACCAGTTCTATAAAGCTACGTGTTTGATATGCCACCGTTGTAATTTTTGTTTAGTATACCTCGCCTCCAAGGCTGTGTGTTTAATATACCGCGCCTCCGAAGCTGCATGTTTGATATACCAGGTCTCTAAAGCTATGTGTTTGATATGCCACCCTTATAATGCTTTTTTTGGTATACCTTGCCTCTGAAGCTGTGTGATTGACCACGCCTATAAAGCTACATGTGTGTTACACTTTCCCTGCATGTTTCAACACGTTGTTTATTTGCTTCTGTCGCCGTACGTTTTAGATAGGACAACTATAAATGTTTCTTTGATGTACTTCGTATCTAACTATTTGTTTGGTATACAACGGCTACACACTGTCATATTTAAGATACCACTTCAATAAAGCTGCATTTGTTTTATACCAAGCATATAACGCTTTCTTTCTCACGTTTATAACGATAACTTTGATAGCTATACCATGCCTGTAAAGCTGCATGTTTGATAAATCGTACTCTGCTGTGTGTTGGTGGTGTGATGTAGTTAGTGTACTTGGGTGATGTTGTGGTATTGCTATTGGGTTCAATATAATCAGATTTCCTATCTTAAGGATGTCATAATTTCCATGAAATGAATGGTCAAAATTTAAACAAACAAACAAGAAACCTAACAAACCAATATCTAAACTCTAACATATACCCTTCTAATAAAGTTGATATCTTCTTGATATACTAAAGATTTTAGATGCTCTCGAAAACAAATATGTCAAAAATTATTCTTAAGAATTTCAATTTTAGTGATTCATTTTCGGTATCCTCCTGAGCATTTTAAAACCACACTCACACGTGATAGGCAGCGTGTCAAAATAGTTACATCTCACTTCTGACATTTACTCTGAATCAGCTTCATTGTTTCCAGAGAAGTGGGAATATGTATGGAAGTAAACATAAAAAAGTAATATAGAGTTATATGCTTTCAGCATAGCAATATCGCAGATGTGTGCCTGTGAACTTGTAAAATGAACCTGTAATTACAAAAAAAAAAAAAAAAAAAAAATCGATGATACGGCGGTGAAATATATATTTACACGACCCCCCCTTCCCCCCGCAATATTCAATATCACACACAGACAGGTGTTCTCTCGAAAGATAGACGTCTTCTTATAACCTCGAATCCTTCTTTATCTGTTATCAGCGTTTTGACTTCAAGGACAGCCCTTGTGATGCAATCATTGCCCCACAAGTGATGTTTCAAATGAAATTTGGTCTAAATCCACGTTGACGTGACGAATACCAGTATTGAAAAGCAAACCTTTCGGGGCCTGCCTCCAGTCCCCTGAAGTCGAATCAACTGTCTGATTGGCATGAATAACTGCCTGTCCTTAATGATGTTTTAGACTAAATTTTGTTGAAATATGATGAGACGTTCAGGACAAGTGATGTTGTGAAGAAGTAAACCCCGGCGAAAGGGTAGGCATGACACCGCTTGTGGTGGCAACTGAACAAGGTCTAAGTTATTGTTGATATTCTGGCCAGATCTTGGTTTAATACTTGTATGCTTTTGGAGATTATTTTTTATTTTCTGTACATACATCGAAATATATTTATAATATGTTAACTTCATAATGTTAAGTGCGCGTTAAAAATCCTAGTATTTATATTTGAAATTTCATAAAACATTATGAAAACGACAAGGGGCAGTAACTGGGCAAAATATCCTCGAATCAAAGTGCCGCTCATAAATTCATGCCACGGTGAAGTTTGAAAGCGATCGGTTGAAAACAGGAAAGAGACCTCGAGACCAATAAAATTTTGTGACAGAAGGACGGACGACAGAATTTTTGTTTGTTCGTAATTTGTGATTGAGTGACATAATGTTGCAATTTATTGTTCGATTCCTGGACATGCCGTGATACCAGTCAGTGGACAAGCAGCTGGTGCCTCCAAAGCTATCCTTCTATTTGCGCTTGCTTATTTTTAACATCATTTTATCAAATTAGAAT